CATAATAAGTATAATAAATTTTAATTAAAGCACTTGTAAAATAAAATTAGGTATCATTATGAAATTATTTCATCACTATATATAATGAAATTGAAATTGTCAAAATGAATTTTAGCATTTAATTTCAACTATATAGTAGATGTAATTTACTAACAATATTAAATATTATATAAATACTGTATCTTACCAATTTCTTTATATAGTTGTAACAAAAAACATACAGGAATAGCAGTTTCTACAATTGTATCTTGTCCGAAATAGGTTTAAATTAGTCCCAAAAACTGTTCAATTCAAGGTTAGCTTTTAATAGTCCTAACCATTATATGGTAATAAATGTGACAAAGTAGAATTATTATTGGTAATCGCTAATACTTTGCCCACATTATTACTGTTTTTTAATAATTGAAATTTGTGAATTCTATGAATTCCGCAATTTATTATTGTAACAATGACAATATGCAGGATAGAATTCATAGAATTTACAAATAATAGCACTAAATCAAAAAATATCAAATAATTATATTTTAATTGAAAAATCTTTAAATTTTATTTCATAAAATCGATTTCTCATCAAGTCGTTTCATAAAAAGCATAAATTATTATTTAAGTCATTATTTTTAATATGTTTAATTATATTGAATGTTATAAAATTTTCAAGATGTATTTTATGATAATATAAATCATACACATTATTAGAATCTAAAAATATACAGGAATTTAACAAAACCTTTTCTTCACACAATCCTCACGCATCCTAGTCAAGTTTTCTATTTGCAGATGTGTTAGAAGACCTAGATTTAACATATAACTAATCAAGATTTTTTTAAAAAAATAAGTGATAAAGATAGTGATAAGAAAAATTATTATTAATTGACTATCATGTTTAATTTCATTTATAATTACAAAGGTATACTTGTCTTTTTTAAGATGAGGATTTGTTAGTTTTATGCTTCATACAACATTGTAGCAGGTCCCATTCAGATTCTTCTAAACAAGAGGAAAATAATAGTGATTCTGGCAATTATTCATCAAATAAAACAAAAAAAAAGTATAGCATGCACAAATTCTGCTCCAATTCTCCTAAAAACTATCATAAGCCCCATTCCTCCAAGCAACTTTGTTATTCTAATTCTTTCTAACAAAAGGAATATATTAGTAATTCTAGTAATGATTCTTAACAAGAAGATTATGATAGTAGTTCTTGTAAAAAGAAGCAGAATAAGCATTCTTCCTCACAACAAAGCAGTAACAAGCATTGTAGGTCTCCCTCCCTACAACAAAGTGATAAAAGTGATAACAAGCGTCATAGATCTTTCTCTCTAAAAAAAAGTAGTAGCAAGTGTCATAAGTCTCCCTCCTTACAACAAAGTGGTAATAAGTATTAGAAGTCTTCTTCTCTACAACAAAGAGATAGCAGATTTCCAAAGCAACAGATTAATAAATCTCTCTCATCCCAAACAGTATCTCAAGTATTGTTACATGCAAGTATGAATCACTAAGCATTGTTAATTTTTTTTATACTAATATTAATTAAATTTTTTATAGATCCAGAACAACGGATTGATAATCCTTCACGTCTAAAATAGCATTTCAAACATCATCACAAGAAGGTATGAACCAATTATTAAATTTTTTTATACTAATATTAATTGAATTTTTTTTAAAGAATACCATTATAAAGTTGATGAACTATTATTTAAACATCATTAACAATTATACTTGATGCTAAAAAAGCATGAAGATGATCTAACAGAGATTAATAATAAGATTAAAAAGTTACAAGTTGAATGAACAAATAAATTCTCACCTCAAGTACTGGATGTAAGTATTTTTCTTAATAATTAAAAATAGGTACATACTATGTATTTAGCTTATATTGATTTGATTTTTAATAGTTCATTTTTGAAAGGATTGTAAAATATCTTTTTCTAAAAATTCTTTATCGAACACAAAATATTTTAAAAAACACATTAAATATATACTTGGAAGAAAAATATCATGATACATTGGCTAATCTAAGTTCTAATCAATTTCTTAACCATTTTCACAAAGAATGGCTTAGTCCGATATATATTATTATTAGCAAGTGTTATTATATATATACAAATAAAAGTTATATCCTGGTGAATTTATGAAATTAATACATTTTTTCACAAGCTACCTCATTTCTGACATACCTCATTAATCATAGAAATTTATTGAAATGATACACTATTATTTAAATTTGAGATATTTCATAAATTCACTACAATGAATATTTAAATCAGGTCATACAAGATTAATTACTTGATTTTCATAACCTGGCCAGGTTAAATTTTAAAGCCTAAAAAACTTTTTTGGTTTAATAAGCAGGTTGATTTTTTTAAACCTTTTTTTTTTATGATAAAAAAAGTGGGCAGGTTAAAGAAAAATTAAGAAATTAAAGTTGTTTATATACCATTAATGACCATATAGATAACCTGGGTATATTATATTTTACTAGTTAAAAAACTTAAATTATACGCAGGGTATATTGCTTTGGCTATTTACAGTAATTATTCAAAATTCAATTTGCAAATCGAAAACATTGGTATATTCTAAAATTTCTTATTTTATCAATAGCTATTATTAAAAATAAAAAATGTCTAGGCCACAGCACTGTTAAACATTCGAAAAGTAATTTTTTGCGTGTTTGGTACAGAAAAATTGCCATTTTTAAAAAATAATGCTTCTGCTATCAACATGTTGCATGAAAAAAAAATAAGAAAGTTATTGAATGTTTTAATATGCTCTTTGAATGTGATGACAATAGAATATACTAGGTCTCAGTAATTGCATATTGTGCATTTACTGAGACATCGATTCCCACTTTAACCAATACACATTATACTTTCACTTTAACTATTTGTACATTTTTTTTAACCCTGTTTTAAAAGAAACTAAATGCACTAAAGACAAAATAAAGTGAAGAATTAAAAAATATACTGTAAGCACTAAAGTAATTATTTAAAATTTATTATACTTATTATGCTTATTAGGATGTTTTTAGTATGACTTTAAACAGAATAGTGCTCTGTTTAATGAATCTGTAAGAATTGTTTTTGCAAAAGAAACAATAGTTATCAGTGAAGATGAAAGTACAGAAGAAGAAACCATAAATGAAACTTGAAAGCAAACAGATACACAAAATATAATGAATTCAAGAGAAGCTAATGATGAGCTTTTTGGTGTTTAATTGAAGGTAGCAGCACATAAAACACTGAGGTCCCATATTTCGATCATTTTGTCACAGTATGTTTTCTCTTTTCGTGAGATCCTTCATTACTTTAGCCATTTCTTTTATC